TTCTACTGTTAAGTTTTTTCCCTAAAAGTACAGAAGCAAAGCAAAACAGAAAAAGTGTTTGCAAAAAGCACACAAAACAAAATATGGATTGAACAAATACAACAACAAACAGAGCAAGAAAAATGGATTTGCTTACCAGATTGAAGTAGAAGACCTGGAGATGGAAGCAACGACAGCAAAAGAGGCACACGAAACGAGCTTCACAGTTGCACAAGTTGGAGAGCAATGGAGCTTGATAGAAAAAATGAAGGAAATAAGAACTACGGTGGTGAAACCAAAGATGGGGAGATTGTTTTGTGAAAAGGACGAAAGTGGAAGGACGGGAACTGTTCAAATTTTGCGAAGTACGAGGGCGGCGGAACAGCTGCAGAGAGCCAATCAGTGCCTGCCACGTGTCATTGGAATAAGAAGCAATTCAGTTGCTGTGATTGAAGAGACGTTTTGACCGAACAAGCAGAGCCCGGTATGAAATTAGCTCGGCTGGAAGGCGTAAGAGTTTTAGCTCGGCTGGAAAGGCTTAAAAACTTCAGCTCGGCTGATAGACAGGTAATCCCTATCATGCTGCGCAGATGGAATTAAGGGGCAATTGAGAGGGTAATTTTTGTGAAAATTGGGCCGAGCTGGGTAATGGGCCGTTTTGAGCCGAAGTACAAAGGGCCGAGTAAAATGGCCATGTAAGTTACTCCGGTCGTGTGGATATTTTGAAGTTAGTCCGGTCCGGAGGCCGTGAAGATAGTCCGGTCCAACAGAAGATCGAAGTTAGATCAGTCTAAACAGTACTTTGGGGTGAGACCGGTCTTGGAAGTTACACCGATCATGACATATTAGTTCGGTCTAACTACGCCATGGGTTGTGCATGAGAAGCCGACGTAAGAGCAGTAAAAAGAAGAGTTAGTTCGGCTTATTCTGCGGCTATGCATAGTCATGTTTACTTCGATCATGTTGGAGTTCGACCATTGTAAAAGCCATCTCATTTGGTTTAAGCAGTGAGGGGGGTGTTGAAGGATAAGCATTATCTTTCAGGAGTATGAATCCTAGGAGGACTCTGCATGGAGGAGTAGAAGTCTTACTAGGATTGTGTCACACGAAACCTATAAAAGCTCACAAACATCACCTTTGGAGAGGTAACATACAATTTTGCTTTCTGAATACACAGAGTTTTGTCTATTTGTCAAGCTTGCTGACTTAGGCATCGGAGAGGTTTCCGGTACACACCCGCCGGCTAGCTCACGTTTGTGTTTTCAGGTGATAAAGCGACGATGTACGGGGGAGAGTAGACTTGGTCAACAGGATTATACGAGAAGGTTTATTTATTTCCCGTACACACATCACAAAATTTATATACATATATATAAAATTTCTATCTATAAATTAGTCATTTTATCATATGAATATAATCTAAAAATTTCAACAATAAAAAAAATGAGAGGGTTGAGAGGGTTTTCTTACTTAATTGTAGTGTTGAAATGGTAGGAAATATATATCCTTCTTAATCTCCTCATCCTCTTATCCTCCTACTCATCTTGGCAAATTTTCTTTTCTTCCCTCCTTCACTAAATGGAAGTATGCATGTATATATATACAATTCATGCAATATCACCGGATTCCTTTATTGAGCACCCCCCTCTCTCTCTCTCTCTCTCTCTCTCTCTCTCTCTCTTTCTTTTTTTTCCTCTTTCTCTTCATTCTATCCAACCTTCCCATTTCCAAGAAGCATAAAGGGGCTTTTCTTCCCTATACTAACATGCAAACAAATATGTAGAAAGTTGCCACCAAAAATCTACAAGGTTTGATTCCTTTGTTTTTTTTTTTTTTGTGTGTATTTGTGTGGGTTTCTTAAAATTGATACACTAAGATTTTTAACTAAGGTATTTAGTAAGAATAATTATCATATTGAATCCTAATTAAAATAATTTATAAACAACAAATATTGAATACCCACAAAATTATTATTCTTAATAATGTCTTTGTTAGTGTCTTTGTTAGTAATTGAATTGGGTTAATTTAAAACTAAATTTTACACTAATATATATTTCACATAGACTCTGGATAAAATTAATTAATTAATTAATTTATTTATTTTCTTTTAAAAATAATTAAATGTGGGTTTTCACAAGCTCTTAACTTTAGAGTTTTGGCTGAAAAGATATGAAAAAGTGATGTAAAAAATATTTCTCGTGATCTGATATATGCGCAGTCTGCTCAAACAGTAGAGTTTACGCTTAAGCGTCAGACACAAAGTTTTGTTCCGCTCGAGCGCAAGAAAGGACCTGCTCGATCGTGGAATACATACTTCCAGTATTTTTTTTTTTGCAAACGACAGACCAGCTGCTCGTGCTCAAGAAAAGACGCTCGAGCGCCAACTTGCTTGAGCATGAAAGACATCCCTCCAGCACTTTTGCAGACGTGCAAAGTACTGATAGTGTGTTTGGTTTGTGTTTATAGAGTAGTTTTTGAGATAAAAAAGTACAAAAACTTGTTTGGTTTGCCTTTTTCTAAATATTCTCTCTAAAATAACTTTATTTTTTTTGCAGAGTAGTTTTTGAGATAAAAAGTACAAAAACTTGTTTGGTTTGTCTTTTTCCAAATATTCTCTCTAAAATAACTTTGGTGTTTTTTACAGAGTAGTTTTTGAGATAAAAAATACAAAAACTTGTTTGGTTTGCCTTTTTGTAGAGTAGTTTTCAAGATAAAAGTACAAAAACTTGTTTAGTTTGCCTTTTTTGCAAACATGTTTCAAAAGTAATCCTGGAAATTGGATAACCAAACACATTTCTGAGATTTTTTTGGAAAAATTTGTTTGGTTTGATTACTCTTAAAAAAGTGTTTGTAGAGTATATTTCTAAAAAATTTCTCCCAAAATCAAACCAAACAAGGCTTGAGAGTTTGCAAGTTCTGCTCGAGTGCGAGAAAGGCTGCACGAGTGGAGGACCAAAATATACACAGCCCGCTCGAGTGCAAGAATGTCTGCTCGAGCGGAGGAGCAAAAATCTGGGTAACAAGGTTTGGGAAGAACAAGCAACCAACATGTCTCAAATGCAACCACAACAAGCCAAGGCCAATTTCAAAGAGAAACAAGGGGAACAAGAGCTAGACAACAACATGAAAGCATTAAACTCGAGTCTGAGATACCACAAGAGTCGGGTCAAAATCGGAATTGCTATAGAAAATGTAAAAAAAAGAGCTCAAAAGCTAATAAAAAATAAAGACCCTAAAGCTATGTAAGCAAAAAAAAAAAAACAAAGAGGGATGGCCAACCTCTTAAATTTTAAGACTTCAAATCATGTTTTTGGCCTTAGTTCAACTCTGAAAATCAGTTCAAAAACCAAAGATAAAAAGTGTAAAAGAACCAAGAGTTGAGCTACAAAAATAGGTGCAAGTAAGAGTGTTAACCTTACCACCTTTGGTAGCTTGTCTAAACCCAAGTTCCAACACCTAAAATGGATAGAAAACAGCCCAAGAACACAAGGAATAGGTAGAAATGAAGAAAGCAAAAGCAATAACAAAATTTACAAACTTATACATCTCAAAATGGAGTAAGCTTTGGTTGATGATCAAACTCACTCTTGACACACTCTCAAGCTTGAATTATGCTTCTCAAGGGTCAACCATGGCTCTAAGATGGTGAGTCAAGGTTGTGTATGGTGTATATGGATGATACAAGGTTGATAGGTTAACTCAAATGTAGCTTGCAATGGAAGAAGGAGGAAGAAGGAGCTCTCTCTATGTGTATAGGCTTTCTTTCAATTGTTCAACCCCCAAAACAGAGGCATATGGTTGTATTTATAGAATTTGAGCACAAAAGGTGATAAATATCTTCAAAAATGGATAGTTGGCGGCCTACCTCCAAAATAGTGTTTCTCATTACTGAAGCCCGGCTGGCCCACAATGAGGCACGACTGGGCATTAATGAATTTCCCTGTTTTCCTATTTCAACCCCAACACAGGATGGTACAAGGTGTACAAAGGGATTTCTTGGGTATGATTAATGGGAATATGGAAGGTTTGGGATTGTTTCGAAGCTTAAACAAGGCTCCTTGGTTGAGACCTCGAACCACGCATAATACCACTTTCATCATTGAGTGTACCGAGCAAAGCGCTTGAGCCTTGCGGGCGGTCAAAAATGGGGTGTCCACAGAAGTAAGATATTGTTTCTTGTTACACCAAGAAATAAGATAATCGCCTAAGAAGAAACAGAAACCTATAGTAGAACAGCAGTCAGTAGGATCCCCAGCCCAATCAGCATCGGAAAAGGCATAAAGTTGAAGAGAGAGGTGGGTGGAATAATGAAGACCATGAAACAAGGTGCCTTTGAGATAGCGAATGATATGAACTAAAGCATTATACTGAGGTGTACGAGGAGCTGACATATACTGGCTAACAATATGAACAACATAGGCGATGTCAGGATGAGTAACAGTGAGATAGACAAGGCTGCCAACCAGCTGGCGATACAGAGTAGCATCAGAGAGTAGAGTGCCATCAAGAGGAGTAAGATGACTCCTCGAATGGAGTGGATGCAGTCTTGCAAACTGTAAGACTAGCACGAGCGAGAAGATCAGAGGTATACTTAGCTTGAGAGAGAAACGAACTTGTAGAATCATAAGAGATTTCAAGACTCAAGAAATAGCTCAGAGGACCAAGGTCTTTCATCTCGAAATGATGGCTAAGAAACTGTTTAAGGCGAAGAATACTATCCACATCATCACCAGTGATAATCATGTCATCCACATAAAGCAGAAGCAAGGTGGTCCCTTGAGCAGTTTTCCTCACAAAAGAGCAATATCATAAAAACTATAAGTGAAACCATAATCATGAATAGTAGAGCTGAACTTGGCAAATCAAGCGTGCGGGGCTTGCTTAAGACCATATAATGCACGTTGAAGTTTGCATACCTTATGAGGTGGATAAGTAGGCCTAGGGGGAGGTTGCATGTAGACCTCCTTTAAAAGATCACCATTAAGAAATGCATTTTTCACATCCATTTGATAAAGGTCCCATTAACGGATGGTAGCAATAAGAATTAAGTTGTGAACAAAGGTAAGACATGCAATAGGAGCAAAGGTCTCCTCATAATCAATACCATATTCCTGGTTGAAGCCTTTAGCAACTAGACGAGCTTTGTATCTCTCAATAGAGCCATCAGAGTCTTTTGTACACCCATTTGTAGCCAATGACAGTCTTGTAAGGGGGAAGATCAACAACATCCCAAGTATGAGTTTTGTCTAAAGCCTGCAATTCATCAGTCACAGCATGCTGCCAAAGAGGATTAGAGCAAGCTTCACGATAGGAGGTAGGTTCATGAGTAGAAAAAGCAGTGGAACCAACAATATAATCACGAAGGCGAGTAGAAGGTTGTGTTACTCGGTGTGGGTGAGTGGAGGAGAGAGGAGCAAGAGGGCATGAGAGAGACTCAATAGGACGTGAAGATCCCGATGGAGCGAGAGGAGGACCAGCAGAGCGAGCAGGCTCACGGGAAAGACCAGTAGGCAAGGATGTCTCGAAAGGTGCAGGCAGGAGCCCTGTATCAATCTTATCAGAAAACAGATCTGCAGAAGGGTTAGTAAAAAATAAAGAGGGGAAGGGAGTGGATAAGCGGAATTGGGAGAGGGAGGAAAACATTTTATCTTCCCAAAAAACCACATGATGAGAGATACGGAGGTGCTGAGAGATAAGATCCCAACAATAATACTCTTTATGTTCAATACCATACCCCAAGAAGCAACAAAGACGTGAACGAGGTTCAAGTTTGTTGTGTTCACGAGGTTGGAGAAGAACAAAACATGCAAAACCAAAGACCCTAAGATTAGTGTAAGGGGGACGAATGCCATGTAAACGCTCATAGGGAGTATGATTATGAATGATAAGCGTAGGGATACAATTGATAGTGTAAGCAGCATTGAGAGCGGCTTCGCCCCAAAAAATTTTTGGACAAGAGGAAGAGAGAAGGAAAGCTCGAGTAGTGTCGAGAATATGCCTATGTTTCCATTCAACACGTCCATTTTGTTGAGACGTGCCCAGATAGGAACGGTAAGACTGAGTACCATGACTCTGAAGAAAAGAAAGAAAATCAAAATCCTTATATTCCATGGCATTATCGGAGCGAAAAAGATTAATAGTTTTAGAAAATTGGGTTTAGACCATTTTAGCAAAATTGTAATAAATTTTTTTGAGCTCAGAGCGATTTTTCATAAGAAATAACCATATAAAATGGGAAAAATCATCTATAAAAACAACAAAATAGCGTGCGCCTCTTATAGTAGGAGTAGAGAAGGGGCCCCAAATATCAGAATGGATGAGATCAAAAGCTGCAAGAGAAATATAGTCACTTTTATTAAATGATAAAGCAGGTTGTTTGGCAAGTTGACATGGCAAACAATCTAAAGTATCAGAACTGACAGGATTTGATTGACCACTAGAAATTAAAAAATTTAACCAACCAATAGAAAAATGTCCTAAACGACAGTACCAAAGCTGAAAAGGAGATAAAAGAGGAGCAATAGTAGGAGTTGCGAGCTGAGAAGAAACTGGAACATGAAGGTGAATGAGTTCATAGAGACGTCCATGCTTACGGCCGATCCCAAAAGTCTGTCCTGTTCGAAGGTCTTGCACCAAGCAACTAGTATGAGAAAAGGCAACAGTTAGACCATGCTCACACAATTGATCAATGGAGATAATATTTAAGGTAAGAGCAGACATAAGATACACATGAGATAAAGATAAGTGAGATGTGGAAATAGAACCAATATGACTTACAGATAAAACAAACGCGTTAGCAGTATGAATAGAAGGAACATGAGGATGCGAAGATAGAGAAGTAAAAATAGTAGGGTCAAAGGTCATGTGATTACAACAAGTTGAGTCAAAGTACCAAGAAGTGTCACTTGAGGTGACAGACAAAGCAGTAGAAGGAGAAGTACCGGAAGTGGAGAGAAATTATTGGAACATGGCTTCGACATAGGTTTGAGAAAAGACTGGAGTAGAAGGGTTTATAGGCACAGAATAAGGTAAATCCTCTAAGGCAATAGCAGCAGCGCGATAAACAGGCATAGACTTAAATTGATTCCCAGAATGTTGAGAGTTGCCTCGTGAAAAATTTCCAGTTGAAGGACCATGGCGAGAGGATGAACCAGGAGAGTTACCCCGTGTTGGATTGTGGAAGCAATCTTGCTGTAGATGACCAGGACCAGTCTTGTTGCAAAACCAACAAAGTCGAACTGGACAATGAACCAGAAGATGAGTAGGTGGAAGACCTCGGTTTTGCCAGTAATTGTAAGCAGTGGACCGCTGTTGTGAAGGAGAACTCAGAGTTTGAGGAGTAGCAAGAACAGAGCCCATAGGGTGTAGATGGAGAGTACCAAACCTAGTTTCCTTTGATAGTAGTTCAGAAATAGCCTGCTCAAGAGTGGTTAAAGGAGTACGATGAAGGAGAGATGCCCGCACCGGCTCAAAATGGGGAGTTAGAGCCATAAGAAATTGAACCAATCGCTGTTGGTCGCGATAAGTAGTAAACAGGGCAACATCTTCAGTATGGAGCTATGGACGTTCATATAGAGTGAGTTGATCCCAAATAGAATAAATTTGAGAGAGGAAATCATTAATAGTCTGAGTTGGCTTTTGGCACATACGGTGAAGATGACTCTGAAGCTGCTATTGGTGAGCAAGACCAATAGTTTAACATCGGTCTTTCAAAAAATCCTAGATGTCTTTTGCCGGAGTGGAAACAGAGTCAAGTTGGAATTGACCAAACTAAAGGCTGATAGATGTAGCAGATGTATTCCGAAGCCAAGCGATGATCTAATAGTTCTTACTGTCCCAATTCTCGAAGCGGTCTGCATATTTGTTAGTAGATTCAGTCGTCTCTTGGGCGGGTTTGCGCACCTCTCCAATGATAATACACCAAAGTTTCTGTCTTTGAGGAAGCCAGACATGACTTGTGCCTATAAGACATAATTGGACCCATAAAAAACAACTGAAATAGGGTGGTGAGAAAAGTCTGAGCGATCCATGAAGTAAAAACAATACTATAAACGCAGAATCTGAAAAAATTGAGGGTACCAGTGAATTCAGAGGGTCAAAATCGGTGGGGAATTGGTCTAAACTGGCCTAAAAAGGCCAAAAATTGGACTTGAAGAGGCTGAACCAGTTTAAGACTGAACTGGATTAGGGTTGACGTCAGCCATGTGGGTTAGTCAGGCACGTGTGGCTAAGGTGGCACAAGTGGCGCGAGTCTATGGCGGCTAGGGCGCGAGTGGTTGAGCCTGACGTAAGCGACGTAAAGCACGTGAGATAGCGGAGGCGGAATGGAGTGACGCGCCGGCGACAAAAGTGGCGTGTGAGGGCGCGTGTGGTCTTATTTGAGGACGCTATTGGTGGCGTTGGAATCGTGAAAAGATTCCGAGCACTTTTGGTAGACTATGTGAAAATTTTGGAGCGCAAAAATGATCTGAACAGTGACGAAACAGAGATAAATACCAGAAAATTTGAAACTTTCTGGTTAATGAGCCATAACCTTACGCTCTGATACCATGTTAAACAAGTTGAGAGAGAGAAAGAGAGTCTCTGTGTAAAATGTATTATTTAAAACCAATGTACATGGTCTACCTTATATAGAAGAAATCATAGCTATCTAAACAAACATACGTATCTCTCTATATAGATATACATAGTCTATCAAATTAACAACTATCTAAACATATAGATATACATTAAACATATAGACATACATTAACATATGGTTTGAAGTTGTGTTATTTTTTGATTTATTTTGTTTTTGGTGATTATTTATTTATTTTTCTTTTTAAGTCTATTTAAATTAGATGATCTTAAAAATTAAAAGATATTTTTTATTTAATTTTTTTACAAAAATATGCAAACTATTTTAAGCATTTTAAACAAAATTCAACTTATTTTCATATCTATTAGATTTTTGATTTTTTTTATACAATATTTTAGTTAAAAAGGATTTGAAAAATAAAATAAAATTGAATCATAATTTAAAAAAGTTATGTGAGTTTTTATGTAAGTTTTTTTAGTTGTAAGATATTATTGGAGAATTTTTTTTTTGTGTTTGGAAAGATTAGTTGGGTTTTTTTGTGGTTGGATGTGATATTTGTGAGAGAAAAAATGAAATGATTATGGGATTGCATGTGATATTTTGTTTGGATGTGTTTTTTTTTGGTTTTGCAAAAAGTTTGTATTTTTGTGAAAAAAAAAAAAAAAACCCAAGTCCCAAACACCAAAGGATAACAACCATTTTGGGAAAAGCTACTTTAATAGTTTATTTGGATTACATCACCTCTTCTCTTTTTGCATATTTTTTCATAATAAATAAAAAAATCAATTTATAAGCCACCTTCTAAAAATTTATAAATAATACTATATGTATCAATTAATGTACACACTAGTGTACTAATAGATGATGTGACATCCTTTGCATGTTTTTGGATATTTGTAATTATATAATAAATATAGTCAATAATAATATTATAATACTAGTTGGTACACTAGTGTGTATACTAAGGCCAAGTTTGGGTAGTATGAAAAAAGTCAAAAAGTTAAAAAGTTACTCAAAAAGTTAAAAAGTTAACACTATTCACTAAAAGTCAACAATTACGGCTGCACAACTCCCACACAACTCTCAATCCTAATTTTTTCTTACAAACCAATTTTTACAATTTTTTATTACACATTTTTCCATAAAAAGTTAAAAAGTTAACCCAAACATCCATATTTTTTCCCTCAACTTTTTAGTCAAAAAAGACAAAAAGTACACTTATTTAGAATACCCCAAACAACCCCTAAATGGAGCATGTAGCACCACTGAAAATTTATACACCTTGAAGTTTACTAAACTGTGGCATACAAAAGAAATAAAATGCAAAATAAAAAAGTCTTATTTTTTTTATAAAATATTATAAATTACAGCAATGGTAGAGGGCCCGAATTTTCCAGACTCGAATGGCTCGAATTGACCAAAACGACGTCGTTTTAGACACAAAACAACACAAAACGACGTCGTTTTGGTCAATTCGAGCCATTTGAGCCGCGAATATTGTGGCCACTAAACATTTTCCTATAAATTAATAGGAGAATAAGTTTTACATAGAACAGATGTGAATTGACCAAAAAAATAAAAATAAAAATAAAAATAACAATTACGTGTTTATAATGAGAAAATAAGCTTATCGTGTAAACAATAATGCTATTATAATTATATTATATATATATATATATAATCATTCTATGTGACAATACTATATTAATAATATGAATAGTAAGATCAGTTAAATAATACAAAATTGATACATAAAATAATAAACAAATTAAGGTTTCGGCCAACTTGAGGGAACATTTTGGGTCTATTTTATAGAATTCATTAGATAAAATATTGATATAAAAAAATTAAAAGAGTAATTTCATTTTAGTATAAATTTAGAAAAATATTTTTAAATTAGTAATAAATTTTATAAATATTAAAAAATAAAATCATAAATTTTTTCATAAATATGTAATTCAATTTTGAAAATTCCACTAGTACGAAAGTTCCCGAAAATCAAAATATCATTTTTTAAAAAATAAAATGCAATTTAAATATGTAATTTCAATATTTATCTTAATTTTTGGTCATAATTAAAATCACTAGATCAAGAGAATGACACATCACTTTTTTAATTTTTTTATACATTTTAAAAGAATTAAAAAATAAATTATAGTACATAATAAAATAATAAATTTATTGTCCTTTTATTTTTTTTTTAAAATGCATTAAATATTTTTTCATAAAAAATTTAAAAATTATATGAAAAAGATTAGAATCCACGAGAATATC